TGTCCTGAAAGTCTGTGATTTGCCCTCGTTTTTAACCTTGCCTTTTGAACAGGTTCGCTCAGCAGCGTACGTGGCCTTAGGGCTGCTGGAGCCTTTCATCAAAATCGGGGGTACAGACAAAAAAGGGACAGAAGAGGAGAGGAGTGTGACAGGGACAGGATAACCCGAGTGAAGGAGAGGAGCAGTGCCAGTGACCGCAGCGCGGGACTCGACATGGGGACGGGGGCAAGTGACCCCCCAGAGTGGTCCCTGTCTCCTGAAGAGGGTGAAAAACACTTGCTGTCACTACAGACAGTGTGTCTGCAGGCAGAGGAGGAGGACTTGGAGGGAGTCTGCCAGATAACTGCCCACCCGCAGAAGGGGGTGGCCATGGCAGCGCTGGCCGGGGCAGTTGTGGTGCAGACGGTGGTGCAGCAGGGGCAGGGTGTGCTGCACAACGTGCCAGCAGGCATGGGTGTAAGTGTGCGGGAAGGTGTCTGTATTTTTTATGACTTAGGGCTGATGCAGATTAACGTTTTGCAAGAAAAAGGGCAAGCAAAGAGTTCAGAAAGCAAGCCAACAGAGAAACCACCAGACATGCTACTGACTGAGGTACAAGTTCTGGATGTGGTGAAGATGTCAATACATTAGCTGTTAGCTTGTAATATCACACTGATTCGGTTCTGACTTGATTATTATTTTTTCTAGGTGTTCATATTTGTTGGACTTAGGTATCTAAGCCTTTGTACAGCTTTTTATAATTTCATCCTATGTTTAAAAAGGCAGACTAAAAATTTAGCCTTTCTAGATGACTAATCTGTTAAAGTTCAGACAAGTTTTTAATTCAATTCGCCAGTTTGGTGCTATTTGGTTTGACAGCCTGGATCTCTTAAGTAGCCTTAGACAATTTCCCTTCTCCTGCATTAGTACAATACAGCAGTCGTCGTCAAAGCTGGATGTGTAATATGGTCTCATTTGAAATGCATTTTATTAAAAGGACATGCAAACATTGGTATTTATCCTGTGCTAGGTATTGGTTTTATAATAAATTTTTTTTTTTCTTTTAAAACTCATGTGCCACCCTAGATAATTTCTGAAGTATGGTCATATTTAAGTTTTATTTAATGCAGAAAGTATCACAACCTTGTTAATTGCCATATGACAAAAATATATAAGCATTGCAATTAGGCTGCAAAAGTCCTATATTAGTTTGGTAAAAAATTGCGAGCGTACTTTCTTGTCATTTTCTTTTAAAAGGTAAATGTTCTGAACTTAAAATGTTTTTAAAAAATGAGGATACAAGTTTCTGTGTTCTGAGTGCTGTAATCTTAAAATGATACTCTGAAATTTTATATAAAATTTTGAAGAGCTAGGGCTCAATTTTAGTAATTGTTAGGCTGCTGTATGTTAAATGCAAATTTTTTGTTGCAGTTTTGTCCATCACATTTAAGGCTAAAAATGAAATTGAATTAGTAGCTTGCCTCTTGTTGATAGCTCAGTTGTTTTTGCTACTAGCGACTACCTTTGATTAGGGAAGTTGAAAAATGTTTTCTTTTTTAAATAGATTGATGGAGATAATGATGTCATTGCATTTGAAAATAAGGTTCAGCAACGGACCCCATCTGAAGAGGGGGGAGGAGAGGAACTTTTTTTCACTCTTGGGGGAAAAAAGAGCCAGAGCTGCAAAGCCAGTGATGATTTGGCAGACTCGTGCGATGAAGGTAAAGAGCAGGAATATGCAACTCCATCAGAACAAACAGTTGTAAGAAATCCCAAGAATCTAAAATTTCAGATTTGTGCTCCACATCGGAAAAAAGGTAAAAAGTTAATAATCTTTGTAGTTCATTTTTAGATAACATATGTTAAGTTAGATTTTGAAATGAGGTTGAAATTTTATATTAAATATTCACAGTGTTAATTGTTAAGTTTAAATTAGGTTAAATCTAACATTCTGTGGAAATTTGGAAGAAGGAATAATACCCTTCAGCCTGAAGTGATAAAAGATACTTCTTCAGGCTGATGTCATCTGTGTTGCATTCAGGAGAGACATTTTGGATGGCATTTAAAAATAAATGGTCTTTTGAACAGTATGTGGTATTTGAAAGCTCCAGGGAGATTTCAAAGTTAATATTGTGTATAAATGTCTTTGACTAAACCTAGTAATTTACTTAGTCTTTCTTAGTTCCCTCATTCAGCTTCAAAATGTGCTTGGGGGGTTATGGAGGAGCTTAGAGTGGTTCCAAGTTGCTGGCTGAGGTTGGTGGGCAAGTATCAATGCCTGTCAGCAAGGTAGCTCCCAGAACCTAAGTAAAAGTAACAGGAAACGGCTGGTTTAAGATTTTAGGAACGTAAAAGTATGTTGCGGAAGTTAAGGTCTGACTTACAAGAGAATGGATAAGCAACTGTTTCCCTAGAAACTGTATGTCTGTACTGTAAAAGTTGGATGACATCAGTAATGTTGAAGACTCTGTAAATGTGTGTGTCATCGTATCTGGATATTAAGATATCTTGGCTGAGGTTGTTTAAAGTATGGCTATTGTACCAATTGTTTATGTCCCTTGTTTTAGTTACTGCGTTTATAGGAAGCACATTTGAGCAGCTTTAACAAAGCTAACAATGTTCTTTTGTGTGGGCATGAATCCACAATGAATAAATAACAATAAAGTGGTTTTGTTTGCTGTTATTGAAGTGAAATGTTAGCTGCACATCTCTCTGTGGTATAAAGCATTGTATAAAATATATTTTGGTCTCAGCATGAAAATCATTACAGAGAGTGCACTTGGGAGCTGAGACAACTGTTCTGGAAAGGCTCTTCAAATATGACGTATTTGCCATTTCGCAGTTTCAAATCTTCTTCAAAACTGAAAGTGTTGCACATTTACTCTTAACTTGTTAAGCTCAAAAGAAATTAATTATGCTATGCTATGAGCTTGGAAATGCTATGTAAATGTCCAGAAAGCATAACTTTATTCTATGACTTCTTCAAGGAATTGATCTTTTTTTCCTCAAATTCAACTAATAGCTGTAAAGAGGCTTTTACATCATGATTTTTTTTACATACACTTTACGGATTTAGGACTACCAGAAAGCTGAGAGTAGCCTAACCTGCGATTTCCAAATCTTTGAACAAGCTTACTCAGTACTGATTATACAGTTGTCATCAAGAAGTGCGTTGCACAGGTTTTAAGTGCCTTGATGAACCACATCTTGATGCTATCAAGAGAGGAAGTTTCATGCTGTCTTGGAGGAGTGAGCTAGGCTAGGAGTTAGGTTTTTTGGGATTAGGTTCTAAACTGTATCACTAACACATGGCACTATTCTTTGGGCAAATCACTTAAGTCTTAAATAGATACAATAATTTCTATGTGACAGCTTGATTTTTTTTAATATGTTTTGAAGTCCTTTTATGTAGAAGTATGAAGTAGTTTTACCCAAAATAGAGGAACTATATTGAAATTGGTACTATTTTTTGAAAAAGTAAAGCCATCATTTTGTGGCTCTTACGATCTAAATGTGTCTTTGTTCCCACAGGAGAAAAAGCAGTTTTCAGCTGTGGTTTGTGCACATTCACCTCACTCAGAATATCAAGTCTTAATCGTCATGTGAAAACCCATTCTGATGAGAAACGTCATGTGTGTCACCTCTGCCTTAAGGCTTTTCGTACAGCTACCCTCCTGCATAATCATGTGAACGTACATACAGGTATCTAACGTGTGAAAATACTTCATTTTACATATTGCCTGCAAAATTTAATTAACAGGCAAATGACTTTGTCTTAGAGTTGTATTCTGTGATCATTTTGTGCTCAGAAGTTTCTCTGATTTCATTTGGAGTTCCACGCTGAAAAGACGTGGTCTGTAGTTAGTAATTCTCTGTGTGTGTATTCATTTATTTTGTTAAATACCATTCTGAAAATTTTTGTCAACTGAATTGACTTCAGTTGTGCCTGATTCCTACGTGCATAATAGAATTTTTTGTGATGTTTTCATTTTGCTATATAACCATATGAAGTAAATCAATAAATTGTGTTTGTAATAAACTTTTGGTGTACATTTATTATATATAAAAATTCAGAATCTCAGAAAAGGTTCTGTTAAAAAATTGTGCATGTTGATTTAAGGCAGACTAATCGTACCATTGTGTTGTTAAATAAAATTCTAAGAAACGGTGTATTCTTACAGGGACCAGACCCCATAAATGCAGTGACTGTGATATGGCATTTGTGACCAGTGGTGAGCTTTCACGACACAGGCGCTACAAGCATACTTTAGAAAAACCTTTCAAGTGTTCAGTGTGTAAATATTCTAGTGTAGAAGTAAGTACAGCCTTACTGAATCTTTTGGGAGGTTTTGTAGGCTTTCACATGCTAAGATTTTAATGTACTGTAAAGTTACAACATTTTTGCACAAATTTTTAATCTTGAGATTCTGCTAAATTGGGACCTACCTCTGCATATATCATACTGTCTATATCATCCTTGGTTATTGTCAGATTTCTATATGCGATCAAGTCAATGCATTACAGAGGTAGTTGCAGATGTCAAGCTACAGTATTAATACTTAGCTTGTGATGCGGATATATATATGCATTCTGAATTGGGAGGAATGGCCAAACTTCTGGTTGCTGTAATACTTCAATTCTGTGAAAGAGAACTGTAGAGACCATAAAGGTAGGGAGATCTGCTGGATCCCAGGAATCAGTGGCCCATGTATAACAGCATCCAAGCAAAGACCACCAGGCTCTGCTTATGGCCTTGGACCACAATAGTGGGTTGAATTTCATTTTTCTGCTATATTACTGCAGTATTACTGCAAGATAGCTGATTACTAAAACTTTGTGGTGCCATGCATTTCATTTGTATGCACATCCTTTCATCCCCACTGTCCCACAAAAAAGGAACAAGTAATCTGAGTTCTTTGAATCCTTACTTTGTCCATGTAGTAGTGTTTATAAATTAGTTGCTTCAAATTAATATTTGTACAATTATTTAGCTTTTTAGTTACATTTTAAGGGTATTTTCTTTTTTATTATACTAAAATTGCTGCTAGACAATGTGTGTGTGAATTTGATCCTAAAACAGCATACTTGGTCCTCCTTTACACTTCATTCCATATACTGTAGGACAAGACTGGCTAATGTCTAAAATGAAGCTCATGTATTGTGTTTATATGCTTGATGATGTTTGGTTTTACAGGATTGAAATTTTCTTAATCTGGAAATAAATAAAATTAGAGACTGCCTAAGGGTTCACTTGGAAAAATTAGGCTTTCAGCCATGCAGCTATGATTGAATCACAGTCACAGTCACCTATGATTGAATCACTGTCACAGTTTAGTGGATATTCAGTATCTAAATTTTTTATGTGCTGTGTCCAGATCTAAAGCTGTAAGCAAGCCTGAACTTTATTCCATGCACCTTATCTTATTAATTAGATTTTGGATAGCTTGCATCTTTAAAAACCTTGTCAGCTTATGTTAGTGTCCTATTCTTTCCCTTGTTTCAGTAAGGAGGTATTCAGCACTGATTGCTGTTGCAGAACTCTCACTAATATTGCTGTAAGCTTTACCTGAATAAGGAGAGCTGAAGGAGCGCCCTAGTAATACCATGCATATGATTTGACTTTTGTATAGCAAAGATTGGCAATCATGTTTAATTTTATTTAAGTGAATAGTGGTGTAGATTTGACTGGATATAGCAGTGAATTCATTCAGTATGTTTGTAAATGGAGGAATTGAACATTAGGTAACTCCTAATTTTAGCTTGTATACCTACAATATTTATGTAGAACATATCAGAAGAACAGTATAAAAAAGCAGAATGAGTTAAACTTTTGCAATGAAAGTGCTTCATTGGGATTTGAAGATGAATAAAGACTTTGGTTAATGAGTTTGGTCTTTCATTTATTTTCCTGAGTATTTTCAAAGAGTTTTGTTTGGCATAGTCAAGTAGCCTGAAGGTAGTAGGTATCCCCTTCAGCTGATTTAAAAATTCTAGCTTTTATGTTCTTATTATAAAGTTTCTCCTTTTGTTTATGTTGGCAGTAAACACGGAAGTAAGATCATCTGGGGAACAGAAATATTACCTAAAACCACAACAGGCTGATTGTACAGAAAAGGGGTGGGGGGAGAGGGCTAATTCTGGGATTGATGCAATATTTAAAATTGCAATAGATGTATTTTGTAAAATTGCTTGTATTTTAATTGATTATGTCTCTAATGTAAATGTTACTGCAGAAAATTTCTTATTTTTATACTAGGCAAGCAAAATGAAACGACACATTCGCTCACACACAGGAGAGCGTCCTTATGCCTGTGACCTTTGCAGTTACGCTAGCAAAGATGCATATAAACTGAAAAGGCACATGATAACTCATTCAGGTGAGACTGACGTAATGATCAAGTCTATGTCCTTAGGCCCTTAACATTCATAGGGTTAGAGTGATCTAATTTCAGACTCTAAAATTAGCACTGTCTTCATTTGTGATTTTGAGAAAATACGTGACTGAAAAACACGTTCTCTTTAAATTGTATGGATTTGGCTATTGGAAGTCTAGCTGTACAGTGCTAGTAGTTACAGTCTTGCTGTTCTTCCTAAACTTTTTTTAATATTAGAAAAATATTTCGTTTGTGTGGTCTTGTTTTCTGTGGATCAAGTTGTCACATTTATTTCTCAATGAGTTAACTTTATCTGGAGATGCATCTGACAGGAGAGTTTAAAATGTCTGTTCAAAACACGGACATTGTTGTGGCCCCAAATTGCTAGTAACTAATTTGGTCAGCAAAGAATTAAATTGTTTTAACATTGAAAGCAATGTGTTCCAATCATGTAACGTGCATGCCTTCTGAGAAGGTAGTTAGTATCTATTATATACTTCAGGTTTAACTTAGCTCAACTATGGTATGTAATGTATGTTATGATTAGTGTTTTAGTTTGAATCCGAGTGTGGTTTGAATCAAATCTTCCAAATATCCCCACTTACCATGCTTTGGTTCATATCTCGAGGCAGTTTGGTGCAATTAAACTCAATTCTTTTTTAATGAGAGTCAACCAGAAGAGTCCAACAGTGCACGTAGTGTTATCCAGTACTGGTAGGGACTTAGTCCACAGAACCAGACTGGAGCTGGTTCAAAATCTGTGTGCACGTTGGGTCCTCAGCACCAGCTGTTTCTCTCTCCTCTTATTAGACTGCGCTAATTGCCAGTGTTGATGTAATTTTGGTGATACTCACACCTGATGCGACTTTTTGAGGCAGAATGGCAAAAAAAGAATTTACTGCTTTCTCTTCTGCCATTACCAACAGCTGGTGTTGAATCATTTTTATCATGATGTTTTTACAGCTGTTCACTTTCTCTCTTTGCACATTTGATAATTCTGCATTTTTGTATGTGAAATATTCAAGACAAAATGTAAGTTAATTAAAATAATTCCTGATTAATAGTTTAGAATTATATTAATGGCTTTACGCTTCATCGCAGCTCTGGAAACCAAGATTTTGCGTTGTAATCAGCTATGTAAACTTTTTTAGGTGCATTGTCAACTAATAGTAACATTTTCGTTGGTCTGGAGACTGTTGCTGTTAGAACATGGGTGTTGAGATCTGTGGGACTTTTGCATTTGTATCAAATAATTAGAGAGGGTTTCTAAGTGTGTGTTATTTTAATATGTTTTTTATAGGTGAAAAACCTTATGAATGTTATGTTTGCCAGGCCAAATTCACGCAAAGTGGTACCATGAAAATCCATATGTTACAGCAGCATGGAGAAAATGTGCCAAAATACCAGTGTCCACATTGTAGTACCTTTATTGCACGAAAAAGTGACTTGGGTGAGTTTAAAGGAAAACATTGAAAATGAAATGTCGAGATAATTAGAAGTGAAATCTCTGATTTTCACTGCTTACAATGATACCAAATATGTTATATATGACTTTATATCATTACAGAATATTTCTATGGAAAATGTATTCATTGTTTTACAGGTAAGTTACTCCTGCAAGGAGATGTGGTGACATCTTGTGGTTGATGCTTTAATTTGTTTAAAATGCAAAGCGGCAAACATTTACCTTTTTTTTTCTGCTCGATACCTGTGACATTGTGACCTCTGTTTTTCAGTAAGAAGGTACTTCACAAAAATCTATGTCCCAGTTGTATTGAAAAGTTTTTTCTCAAAGCCACAGAAGATAGTCAGATCTGTATAAAGCCATTTCAGTTCTCGCATTCTGCTTCTTTCTCAGGTGTAGTTAAAATGTGTATATGCATCTAGCTCTATAGGAAACTAAAATAGATTGAATGTTTTAGTATATAGTATATATATAGTATACATATAGTATATAGTGGCTTTTTGCATATAGTAAATCAGCTTTTACGTCTTAATCTAAAATTGTACTGCACGTTTAGTTGCTGAGGGCATTGTCCTTATAATTTAAAGAAATACCTGTAATTGCACTAGTTAGTAAAGTGCAAGTTAACTTTTAAGTTTGACTTCTTCAGTCCAGCAGACAATGGTTTTACTATGCTTCAAGCACTCAAAATTCTTGGAATTCTAAATTCTATTATATCAATATCAAAGATTATTTTTGGACTATATAACACTCATGAAACATCGAAGGTGATACAATAAACTCAAATGTCTCTTAGCTAGTTGGGGTCTTTTCCCAGAATGCAAAGAACAAACCATTGCATAAGTTCATCTTTGTTCTATATGCAGATAATGGAATTTTTTCCTTTGCCATAGGTATCAAACAGTATTGACATCCAGGTTGATACTGAAAATATAAATTAAAATTATAACTGAAAATACAAATTAAAATTTTTCCTTGTACAAACCACAAGTTGTATTTCAAGTTCTTGAAATACAAGCCATCATGATTTTCTGGGAATTTATACTAAATTTTTTAACTACTCTTGTTTGGAACAGTACTTGCTTCAAGTACCAGTAAAGTTGTCCCTATCCGTATATTTCATGGGTAAATTAATCATCTTTTCTAGGAAGAAAATGTTTTTGTACAGATGACAGTTTTATTAATAAATCAGTGTATTAGAAATATAGCATATTTACTGTATTTGAAGCAATATAGCTGACCAATACCAATAAAACCTGTATAAAATTTTAGGTTTCTAGAAATATATGAAAAAGCTGTGTTAAAATACCTTTAGCATCTACTTATATTTTCAAATAAAGATCCCATTGAGGTCTATTAAGTATTTGAAGGTAGAAATGGAATTGTTATTTACATATACACAATTTCTTTGTTAGTGTATTTTTGCACTTTTCATTTTAATATTGTAAATACTACTTTGGGTAGCATTTTCGAATGAATTTTTGTGAATAGATAAAAGCAGGCAGTTACCAGATTTTTTGAAAGGATTTGATTTTAATTTCTCTGGAAAGTTACAACATCTTGCTGCAACTTTAGTTATCTTAAACTAATTTGAAAAATTGCCTATTTGGCAATTTTACCCCTATTGCAGAGAACACAGAAGGTTCTTTTTTGTGTTTTCCTGTACAATGTATGCGTTACTCAGGGCTATGCACAGTGTAACTCTTGTTCAAAATTGTGGAAATCAAAAATTTACCATTAAAATTCATTGCTTTTAATAACTGTTCAGGTGTCCACTTGCGAAATCTGCATTCCTACATGGCAGTGGCAATTAAATGCAGTTATTGTGAAGCTGTTTTTCATGAGCGCTATGCTCTTATTCAGCACAAGAAGACTCATAGAAATGAAAAAAGATTCAAATGTGATCAGTGCAGCTACGCATGTAAGCAGGTATTTAAATTCACTGAAAAATTATTGCTTTTTCAATTGATGGTTTGGCAAGGTAGGGTTGGATTTGGGATTATATTTACCTTAGGAAGATAAAAACTTTTGTTACTGTAATCTAACTGAAATAGTGTAGTTAGATTTATTTGCAAGATAAATGGCTCACAAATAAACAGTAAAATTGAAATGCTGGAAAGTCTGAGGATATCTTCTCGATAAATCTTTTGTACGTGAACTGCTTAGAAGTATAAAGCAAAAGCAAACACTTTCAGTGACATTGTGATGAGAACAAAATAGAATATTTGCGCCTTAAATGTGATTTTCAGCAGTGTCACAGAAAAAATTCAGTCTGAACTGAAAATTTTATTTCAAAGAATACATTTAGGATATCATTGCTTTGGCCTTGGTATGTTGGAATGTACCATTGCTCCATTCTGATGATTTTCTCTGCTAACCTTAATAAGGTTAGGAGGAAAACCTCTGACCTTCTCCAGGCTTGGGGAAGAGTGGCTGG